TATATTTTTAAATAAATTTATTAAATATATTTTTAATTTTTTATTTAAAATGTTGACATTTACATTTGAAAACATTTAAACGATTAATACCACCATTTCAAGCCAGGCATAAGTTTTTAATTAAAAATCCTCCTGAATTTTTTTAAAAAAGTCTTCAGCTGGCATTGGGAGGTTGGCAGGAAGGCGACCGAATAGAGCTTCAGAGGTTAGGAGGTCTTTGCTTGGGTCTCCACCACATATAAGCTCAGAATGTGCAGTTTCTGCAGCATACCCACATCTGGTAGTTTCAGAGTACAGATGGGTATGTTTGATGTACAGACACTGACCTGATGGCACACTGTTGTTTCCTATTGCCTTGCTCAGAAAGCATGGGTCGGCAGGAACAACATTCCTTAATTTTTCTTGAGCTGAGCAGGATGAAGAAATTTTAAGTTTTATTTCCAGCTACTCATTGCTATGTTTTGTTTCCATTTTCCAGATGAGAGTGATGACAACCACCAGCATTCCAGTAAGTTTATCATTTCAAACAAATTCAATCACAATTAGAAAGTAATTAACTGAAATATTGAAACTATTTATCCAGCCTTTTAATTCTCCCCTAATGTTGCATAGTGAAATATTTGCTGTTTCTCATCTGAGTATGATGATACCGTCTGAGGATGAATAAGAAAACCATACCACATAAAGTATAACACAGTGACACACATTATTTCCTTAGTCCTCTTTTAATCTTTGAGGTGCAGTAAGTGGTATTAAAGATCATTTCAGTAATTATGTTTTCAAAATTACAAAAGTAACACTAAGATAAGTACAGACTGAGACTGTTTTCTAATTAAATTGTGGTTTCTTGACTAAAGTACATTGATACATTACCCATGCTATCCTAAACAGAGTTACTTCCTCCTAAGCTGATTGACTTCAGTGGCTCAACTTAAGAGTGGAAGTTATAGCCCCAAACACCCACAGGGTGCAAAAATCAGTTTTAGGTCTGTGTCTTAAACACATCTGAAAAATAAACTGCAAGAATTATTGTGGAGGACTTTCAGCCCAAGGTCAAGAGAATTTTAGCTGCTTAATCCACTGAGGAGTTTCCAGAAGATGGAATAAAAGAATACAAGAATGGATCTTGCCTTACATCTCTATGTTTTTGAGCACATGAAGTAAGTTTCTGAGATTTATTTATTTATTTATTTATTCAATTTCTATACCGCTCACTCCCGGAGGCTCTGAGCGGTTTACATAGGCATATTATACTTCTAGCTAGGGCCACAATGTATATATATAGGGAGATGAGTGCCTACCAGGCACCCAGCCAGCGTGTTCTTTCTTCTTCCTGCGACTTTGTGGTGGGTTCTATCTCGGCGCGACTCCGCAGCAGCTCCTACTGGGTTGGCTCCACAGTCTGCGACTGTGCGACGAATGCTGCACTGGCCTCTTGTCCAATTGGCTCCGGCCGTGCTGCGTCGCTGCGTCGCCACGTCTTCTGGGCCAGTCCCCGCCCGGAACGTCTGCAGCTTGATGTCAGTTTCAACACCATGTTCTTCCTGCCGGATCGCCGCCGTCATCTGTTGCCACCACAGTTCTTCTTCGCCGCTCTTGCGCCGGAAGGCGGGTACCCTCCTGCACCTAAGGCAGGTACCCATTTATCTACTTGCAAGGCTTTTGAGCCGCTGGGTAGGTGGGAGCTAGGACATGGGCCGGGAGCTCACCCCGACCACGGTGGGACTCGAACAGCCTAAGGCTGGATGGATTACTTTTTTGCAGGTGTTTTACTGCCTGCACCACCACTCCCTTTGAGATGAAATGAGATGAAAGATCTCATTTCGTTGAACAGTTTGCATAATGGAGTTCTGCCCCTCTGTTCTGGAAGTATGTCATCAGATTTCATAAACCCAGGTTTTGCTGACCTCTTTGTAGAACTTGCTCATATCTATGAAGTATTTTAAATCTAGTTCTAGATAATATTTGATTTGTAACAAAAAGTGAATATTATTTTAAGCCATGGAATTAGGTACATCTTTAATGCTTTAAATAGTTTATGTAAAGCATAACTATTTTTAACAGAATTAAATGAGAAAATGAGTTTTTCTTAGGATTTCATGAGTGCCTGCTTCCATTATTAGTGATGAGACAAAAGTTTGCATATTAGACTGTTCTGTGACATCACATTCTGTGGCATATTTTGGTGGTTTCAATTGTTTCCATAAGTGTTAGTTAGTTTAATAATCCAGAAATAATAGTTTGGACACAGCAATTTGCTTCCACCAGCAGTTCCTTTTAGCTCCATCTTGTATTTTGTAAGGTTTTTTTTCCCCTGTAGGAAAGTGTGTGTGTGTGTGTACACACACACGGAATAAGGCTCATTGTGGAAATAAATACAACGAGCACTAGAAAGAGGCCCTGGGAGAGTGCCAAGGCCTTGGGCACTCAGCGTCAATGTGCTGTGGTGACCTCAGCAGGGTAAAATGACACAGAGTCCACCATTTTCTCCAGAGGAACTGATCTCTGCTACTTGAAGAGCAGTTGTAATCTTGAGTGATCTCCAGCCCTCACCTGGAGATTGGCAACAATTGTTACCCAGGAAGAAATGGCTGGTTTGGAGGCTGGAGTCTATGGCATTGTAGTTGTCTGAGGTCCCACCCTTCCTCAAACCTCACCCTCTCCAGGCTCCACCCCTCAAATCTGCATGAATTTCCCAACCTGGAGTTTGCAACCCTATCTCCTTCCCAGCCAAGCATCAACCTGCCATTATCTGCACCTCTGATTTCAGCCTTGCATCTCCCACCCTCCCTCCTGGAGATCAGTGATTTCCACCCCTCTCCAGAGATTGGCAACAGTGGTTCCCCAGGAGGGAATGGCTGGTTGGGAGGGTGGAGTCTATGGCATTGTACCTTTCTGAGGTTCCACCCCTCCTCAAACTTCACCCTCTCCTGGTTCCATCCCTCAAATCTCCCGGAATTTCGCACCTGGAGTTGGCAACCCTATCTCCTTCCCAGCCAATCATCAACCTACCTTTATTTCCCACTCACTCTTCAGCTTTCCATTTCCCACACACACACACCTGCAGCCTCTTCCGTGCTCTGAAGCCCTGACTGCCACAGAGTCCACCATTTTCTCCAGGGAAAGTGATCTCTGCCATCTGGGGAGCAATTGTAATTCTGAGTGATCTCCAGCCCTCAGATGGAGATTGGTAACAATGGTTTCCCAGGAGGAAAAGTAGTCTTTCTCTGCAATGGGGACCAAAGCAGCTGACATCATTCTCCTCTCCCCCTTTTGACTTGCACAACAACCCTGTGAGGTAGGTTAGGCTGAAAGTCTGTGACTGGTCCAAAATCATCCACTCAGCTTCTACAGCAAGAACCTGGATCTAGCAGACCCTGCTCTGAAGCACTGACTGCTATGCCTAGGGTAGCCAACCTCCAGGTGGAGCCTGAAGATCACCAGGTATCACAACTGAACTCCAGACCTCTCCCCCCCTCGGAGAAAATAACTGCTTTGAAAGGTGGTCTTTATGGCATTCTGTTCAGCTGAGGCCTCTCCCCTCTCCAAACCCTGGCTTCCATAGACTCTACCAGGAAATCTCCAGGAATCTGCCTACCTGGAA